CGCCCGACGGCCCAAGAGGCCTCCAAAATGCTCCGAGTGGGCTCCAGAGAGAGTTTCTGAAGAGCCCGAACAAGCAAGTATCGTCCCCATCCTTAGGGAAAAGGTGCATTTCGGGAGTTCCTGTGCTTTTCGTCTTCGAAGCGTCCAAGACGGCCACACAGGCCCTCAAGATCGTCCAAAGACCCCTCAGAAGGGAGGGCCCCAAGACGGCTCAACACTGTGACAGGACGGCTCCTCAGGCGCCCATGGCGGCCCCAAGGTGGGGCCAGGACAGGCTGGGGGCTGGCAGCGCTCTCGAGGGGCCCCAAGAGGGGGCCAGCAGGTCTCCAAGATGGCCCCGACGCCTCCTGGGGGCGCTCTTGCTGCCCCTTTGAGGCCTTCGGGCCCCTCCAAGACAGGGCCGGGTGCATTCTCCTACAGAAAGGCCTCTCGTGGCGGAGTGGTGGGCCCGCGCCCGGCGGCATCCTGGGGCTCTCTTGGAGGCCCTCTCGGAGGCCCTCTGGGGGCCCTCTTCGTGCCCTCTGGCACGCCGGCCCCAAGACGGTCCCGACACTGCCCCGGAAGCGCCCAGGTCGCCTCGGGGAGCCTCCCTGCAGCTGCGCCTCGGACGAGGAGGAGGAGGAGGAGGAGGAGGAGGAGGAGGAGGAGGACGAGGAGGAGGAGGAGGAGGAGGAGGAGGAGGAGGAGGAGGAGGAGGAGGAGGAGGGGTGCCCCACGGCCGCCTCAGGCCCTGTGTATGGCCCGAAAGCGCACACGGGCTGGGCATCACCCCTTCGCTCCCGCACCCCTCCTGGCTTTGCATTCTGGCAGCGAGGGCTCCTTTACCACGCCCCCCCAAGAAAACACAGCTGCAGATCCCGAATCTGCAGGAGCGAATCTCGGACCGGGCGAGAGGGGGGGATTGGGAAAGGGGGGGGTACGAAATCTGCTGCATGCAGCTGGTTTCGGCCCCGCCGCCTGGCCCATTCCTCGATACGTGGGCGGCGCCGGGAAAATCAGCTACGTGAGCTGATTCTCACCCCCCCCCTCTGCTATCCCCGCCTTTCGCCCGGCCCGAGAATCATTCGCTCTGCTTTCATCATCCCATGGTTTGGTAACCCCCGCCGCCAGTGGCAGCAAGCACGGGTACACATTAATCAGTTACAGCGCTGGGATCAGCGCGTGCGAGAAGGGCGAGCAGTGGCAGCTGGCGCTTGCGCTGCTGAGCGAGATGTGGGATGCGAAGCTGGAGCCCGACGTCATCTGTACTAAAATTCTGGTCGTTGCGCGTGCGAAGGGGGCGAAACGGTCGCGAGATGCCCCCGAGAGCCCGAAGCGCCCTGGCGCTCTCCGATCCAGAGCGCGCGAGGACGGCCCACGAGGACCCCGCTGACGGCCTCCTTCGACGGCTTGCCATGTTCTCGCCATGTCGGGCCAAGAACGGCCCCAGACGGCTTCAGGGCCCCAAGACGGTCCAGGAGGCCCCGCCAAGTGCCCCAAGACGGCGCCAGATGGCCACAAGATTGCACGAGAGAAGCCAAAAACAGCCTCGTAGAACTGGCTCCCCAGACAGTCCCACGAGGGTCCTGAGAGCTGCCCAGAAGGCACCACAGCGCGCTCTGAGACGGCCCGAGACCCCCAGCATGGCCCCATGACGGCCCAAGAGGCCCCCGAGATAGCCCAAGAGGCCCCCGAGACGGCCCAAGAAAGCTCAAAAGTGGGCCCAAAAAGGCCCCGAGAGGCTCCGGAGACCTCCAAAAGAGAGGCCGGCGGAGGCCCAGACGGCGCCCTTCCCCGGCGGAGGGCGAAGGGCCCTCCAAGGGCTGCTCCCACATGCCCTAGATGTGCACGACATTCCCCCTTCTCCTCCTCCTCCTCCTCCTCCCCGCCCTCCTCATACTTCTCCTCCTCCTCCTCCTCCTCCTCCTCCTCCTCCTCCTCCTCCACTCTCCCTCTCTCCAAAGGGACTCCGATGGTTCCCAAGAAGCTCCCAAGGAGAGTGCCTCAAGCCGCGGCACCCTTTCGCCGCCTCTCGAACCCCAAACGCCCCCCCAGAAGGCCCCATACGCCCAAGGCAGGCCCCAGACCACTCATGCCCCAGAGTCTCCGAAGAGATTCCGACGGCTCCAACAGAGCTCCCCAGAGCGGTCCCAGGACCACTCCGAGACGCCCCAGAGATGCCCACAGGGCCCCGAGGGTTCCGACAGCTCCCACGGAGCTTGCAAGCGTGGTCGCGGGAGGTGAGTCCCAGATATCAGGGGAGAAACGACTGGTCTACTCTGTAAGAACGGTTTTTTGAAGGCAGATCTGCCTTCAAAAAGAACGGTTTTTTGAAGGCAGATCTGCCTTCAAAAAACCGGTCTTACAGGGGGGACTTCCTCCCGTGATCTCTTCCTCCCTCCCTCATCGCGGCTCTTTTGGTCGCTCCGGGCCTCCCCTCCGCCCGTCAGGGGTCGCAGGGGGGGGGGACTTGGCGGCCACTTCGGGCGCCCCCCCTCCACGGCCGGTGAGGGGCGGGGGTGCCTGCAGACACCGCGGGGACCAGCATCTCGCTCCCCCCCAACGGCCGATTAGAGGCAACAGGTGGGATCTGCAGCCACCTCGGTGGCCCCCAAGACGGTCCCTCGACCACGAGATCCCTCCCTGGACCACTTCGAGATGGCGCGGACCCCTCCAGGGCAATCGAGGACAGCCCCCAGTCCCAGCACCTTTGGAAGTTTCTTCTGGTTTCCCAGACGCCCCAAAGGAAGCCCCAGAACCCAAGGAATGCCCCAGACCATTCTCAGAAGCCTCAGAGCCTCCCAAGAGACTCCGAGAGTTTGCAAAAGCGCTCCCAATAGAGCATCCAGCCCCAGCACATTTCGCCGAACAAGGCCCCAGAACCCCCCTCCCTGTTCTCCTGTCTTCTCTTCTTTCTCCTCCTCCTCTTCCTCCTCCTTCCCCTCCTCCTCCCCCTCCTCCTCCTTTTCTCTCTCCTCCTCCTCCTCCTCCTAATCCTCCTGCTCCTCGTCTTCTTCTTTCTCCTCCTTCTTCTCCCCTGCTCCCGGCTCAGCCTTTCTCTGGGTCCTCCACTCCGCGGGTTAGGGGTGACGGGGGGGACTTGCAGACACCTCGGAGCCCACATCCGAGCATCATCTGTATTCCGACGCCCTTGGAGCGCCCCCTCTGGGCTCCGGCCTGCTCGGAAGCCCACGCTGGCCAACAAGATCGAGCCTCGCCCTGGCCCTCTGGCTTCGAGCTGGCCGCCGAGGATTTTCCACGGGCTCACCCTGGGCGCCCTCGATGGCGCGAAGTTATTCGCGCTTCGCGCTTCGGCTCCGATTCCTCCTCATCCTCCTCTTCCTCTCTGGGAGGCGGCGCGAGAGCGCGGAGTTATTCGCACTTCGCGCTTCGCGCAGCGCGAAGCGCGAAGTTGGGAGTCCTTGGCTCATCCTGGGCAGCTACAATGCTGGGATCAGCGCGTGCGAGAAAGGCAGGCAATGGCACATGGCTTTGTCGCTGCTCGGCCAGATGTGGGAAGCGAAGCTGGTGCCCAACATCATCAGCTGCAGCGCTGGGGTCCTGGCTTGCGACAGAAGCGAGCAAGGGCAACGGGCGATTTGGTTGCTCAAGGAGACGTGGGATGCAAAGCTTGAGTCCAATGCCCCTAGCTTCCATGATGCACTCATTATTGCGATGCGCGGTCAATGCAGAGCAGGCCCATTTTCAGTCTTGGTGCCAACGACGGCGGGAAAGGCAACCAGCCACAACATGCTTCAGGGAGATGGATGAAATCGAAGGTGGAGCCCACAGTCATCCACCACAACGCTAGCACGAACGCGAGCAAGATCGGTCGAAACTGGCAGCTGGCTCTGTTGCTGCTCAGCGAGAGGGAGGATGTGAGGTTGGAGTCGACATCATCACCTACAGTTCTGGAGTCGGAGCGTGCGAGAAGGCTGAGCGATTTCACCACATCCAGGTCAACGGGTAGGTTCGTTCGAGACAACTCGGCTCGGAACTCACCAGTGGTTGTGGACTTGTGGCCAGGCTGTGCGAGCGGGGCAGGTACTATGACATTGTCCGATGAGGTCAGCTGCAGCGCTGGGCACGCGCTGCTGAGTGAGATGCGATGTGTGCAGCTGGAGCCCGGCGTCAGTCATCTGTACTACAATGCAGGGCTCGCTCGGCCCGGGGAGGCTCCCGTCGCTCCCGGCGCTCCTGTGGTGGTGGACGGCCCTGGACGGTCGCCAGAAGGCTCCCAAGAGGTCCAACGATGGCTCAGAGACACTTTCAGAGAGCGCCCATCTGGTCCCGGAGGACCGCGAATCGAGCTTCTAAATGGTCCAAGACGGCCCCAGGACACGCCAGGAGGCCTTCCACGACTGCCCAGGAGGGGCCCCGCCCCACAAGGCACAAGGCCCAGGTCCTTCGCGTTGCTGGGTTTTCGAGGGACTGCCAGGTTCTCTCCATTTTTCCCCAGTCCTCCTGTGATGGGTTGTCGTCTTGAGAAGAGAACTGCGGTCGTGCACCTACTTCTGTCACCTCCTCTGGCCTCCTCCGGCTCTGCTCCCTGGGTGATTGCGAACTGCGCACTTGTCATCACTATCGTTCGTTTTTGGGAGGCGCGCAGAAACAGCGGAGTAAACGGACCCAGCCGAGACTTCGCTGCTCCCTGGGTGGCTGCGGGCTGCGCAATTGTCGTCACTCTCGTGGGCTTCTGGGAGGCACGGCGGGTCCGCGGAGAAAGAGGACCCAGCCGAGACCTCGTTGTCCCTCTGGGTGGCTGCGAACTGCGCAACTGTCGCCACGTTCGGTGTCCTGCAGAAGAGGCTCTGGGGCAAACCCCGGGACAGGCCTCAGAGGCGCCCAAAATACGGCAAGAGGCCTCCAAGACGCCACAGACAGGCTCGCAGGATGACCCAACACGCCCCCGACACGACCCGAGAGACACCCGAGCTGTTCAACTTCGATGAGCTGGTCACCCACGGCGTGCGAATCCCAGGTCCAGCACACCGTGCATTTAATCCACGGGTTCGCACTAGTCATCTACAACGCTGGGATCAGTGCTAGCGGGAAAGGTCAGCAGTAGCAGCGGGCCCTGTCGCTGATCAGGGCGATTGTCGAGACGAAACCGGAGCCCACTGTCATATGTACTGCAAGTCTTTGCGCTGCGCGTGCGAAAAGGCCTGTTGCCGACAAAAGCTGCCCCCGAGCGCCCGAAGCGCCTTGTAGCGGCCCGGAACAGTAGTAGCAGAAGAAGAAGAAGTAGTATTAGTATTAGTATTAGTATTAGTAGTAGTAGTAGTAGTAGTAGTAGTAGTAGTAGTAGTAGTAGTAGTAGTAGTAGTAGTAGTAGTAGTAGTAGTAGTAGTAGTAGTAGTAGTAGTAGTAGTAGTAGTAGTAGTAGTAGTAGTAGTAGTAGTAGTAGTAGTAGTAGTAGTAGTAGTAGTAGTAGTAGTAGTAGTAGTAGTAGTAGTAGTAGTAGTAGTAGTAGTAGTAGTAGTAGTAGTAGTAGTAGTAGTAGTAGTAGTAGTAGTAGTAGTAGTAGTAGTAGTAGTAAGTAGTAGTAGTAGTAGTAGTAGTAGTAGTAGTAGTAGTAGTAGTAGTAGTAGTAGTAGTAGTAGTAGTAGTAGTAGTAGTAAGTAGTAGTAGTAGTAGTAGTAGTAGTAGTAGTAGTATAGTAGTAGTAGTAGTAGTAGTAGTAGTAGTAGTAGTAGTAGTAGTAGTAGTAGTAGTAGTAGTAGTAGTAGTAGTAGTAGTAGTAGTAGTAGTAGTAGTAGTAGTAGTAGTAGTAGTAGTAGTAGTAGTAGTAGTAGTAGTAGTAGTAGTAGTAGTAGTAGTAGTAGTAGTAGTAGTAGTAGTAGTAGTAGTCGTAGTAGTAGTAGTAGTAGTAGTAGTAGTAGTAGTAGTAGTAGTAGTAGTAGTAGTAGGAGTAGTAGGAGTAGTAGTAGTAGTAGTAGTAGTAGTAGTAGTAGTAGTAGTAGTAGTAGTAGTCGAAACCAATTGCCCTAGCCAGCCCAACCCGCCTACCCAACCGACCAGCCACCCAAACAACTCAACCGGCTCAGCCAGCCCAACCAGCCACCCCGCAACCCCAGCCAACCCGCCAACCCGCCCACCCCCGCCGCCTGCCCTCCGTCACCGTCGAGAGGGGGGGGGGAGTGTTTCTTACAAGCGAAAACCACAAAAATCACCCTCCCGGGGTCCGGCGGGACAGCGGCGGGAGGGGAAATCGCACCCTATTATGGGGGAGCGGGATTCGCGCACGAGGTGCCCAAAGACGATTTCAGGCCTCAAATTCGACACTGTCGTCACTTTGTTACCTTTCACCGCGCTCCCCTTCTCAACGGAAAAGGCTCCCATCCGTGAAACTGTCGTCATTTTTCAGCCCCCGCGAGAGGCTTTTTAGAGGCTCCCAGAAGCTCCAGGCGGGCCAATGGCGGCCTCGGGAGTGCCTAGGAGATCTCCGGAGGGCCCCAGGAGGACCCACTCTGCACCGTGCCCCCCTTCTCAACGGAAAGGCCCCCATGCGTGAAGTTGTTTCATTATTCCGCCCCCGCGAGAGAGTTCTTAGAGGGCCCACGGAGGCGCCAGGGGGGCCCATGGCGGCCCCGGGGGAGCCCACGAGGATTTTGAATTACAGTCAGGGGGCTCCAGAGGGCCCACGAGGCTCCCCAAGAGGCCCCGAAGAGCCCAAACAGGCCACAGGACCCCCAGCACGCTCTAGGAGAGTCAAGGCGACACCAAGAGGCTCCAGGACGGGCGTCATTCCCTCTCCTCCTCCTGCTCGTCGTCATCATCCGCCTCCTCATCCGTCCTGCTTTTAATCCTTCCTCCCCCTTTTCCTCCTCCTTCTCCTCTTTCCCCTCCTCCTTCTCCGCCTCCTCCTCTTCTTCCTCCTCTTCCTCCTCCTCCTCCTACCTCATCCGTAGCCTCGATGGCTCCGATAGCGCCGTGCGCGAGATCCGCCTCCTCCCCATCCGTGCTCCCTCCTCCCTCCTCCTTCCCTCCTCCCTCCTCCCTAGTCCCCTCTCCCGGGAGCGTCACACAGAGGCCTTCCGAGGAAAATTTCACGACAACAAGGGCGCCGGTACGATGAACAGACACCACGTCGGGGCCCTGGGAACGGAGTCGAAGGCGAAACCTCGAATAACTTAGTTTTCGATGTTCGGTGGAAACTTCCGAGAGCCTCGGGGGTGGACGTCTGGCGCAAGAACACGAGTGGAGGAAGAGACAACACGACGCTCCACGGAGTAAACTGCACCCAATTGGTTTCTACACACGTGAGGGGCGTTACAGGGTAGTAGTAGTAGAAGTAGTAGTAGTAGTAGTAGTAGTAGTAGTAGTAGGAGTAGTAGGAGTAGTAGGAGTAGTAGGAGTAGTAGTAGTAGTAGTAGTAGTAGTAGTAGTAGTAATAGGGGTAGTAGTAGTAGTAGTATAGTATTAGTAGTAGTAGTATTAAAAAGTGAGTAGTAGTAGTTCGTCGTCGTCGTGACATATAACGTCGTAGTAGTAGTAAAGTGGATATTAGTATAGTAGTAGTGAGTTAGTAGTAGTAGTAGTCAGGGAAGTAAGTAAGTAGTAGAAGTAGTAAGTAAATGAGTCGTAGGTAGTAGTAGTGGTAGTATTGGTGTAGTAGTATAGTAGTAGTAGTAGTAGTTGGTAAGTAGTAGTAGAGTCTTAGTGTAGTCGTAAGTAGTAGTGTAGTCGTAAGTGTAGCCCAGTTGAGAGAGGACGTAGTAGTATAGTAGAAAGTGTCGTAGTAGTAGTTTAGTAAGAAAAAAAAAAAAAAAGTAGTAGTAGTCGAAGTCATAGTAGTAGTCGTAGTAGTAGTAGTAGTAGTAGCAGTCGTAGTAGTAGTTGTCGTAGTAGTAGTAGTAGTAGTAGTAGTAGTAGTAGTAGTAGCAGTAGTAGTCGTCGTCGTAGTAGTAGTCGTAATCGTAGTCGTAGTCGTGGTCGTAGTCGTAGTCGTAGTCGTGGTCGTAGTCGTAGTCGTAGGAGTCGTAGCAGTTATGGTAGTATTAGTAGTAGTAGTGGTAGAAGAAGTAGTAGTAGTAGTAGTAGTAGTAGTAGTAGTAGTAGTAGGAGTAGTAGTAGTCGTCGTCGTCGTTGTCGTCGTAGTCGTAGTAGTGGCAGGAGTATCCGTAGTAGCTGCAGTAACTAGTAGTCGTAGTAGCCGTAGTAGTAGTAGTAGTAGTAGTAGTAGTAGTAGTAGTAGTAGTAGTAGTAGTAGTAGTAGTAGTAGTAGTAGTAGTAGTTATTAGTAGTAGTAGTAGTAGTAGTAGTTGTAGTAGTAGTCGTAGTAGTAGTAGTAGTAGTAGTAGTAGTAGTAGTAGTAGTAGTAGTAGTAGCAGTTAAGTGTAGTCTCGTATGTAAGTAGTCGTAGAAGTATAAGTAGCAGTGACAGTAGTGTGGTCGTAGAAAGTAGTAGTAGTAGTAGTAGTAGTAGTAGTAGTAGTAGTAGTATTAGTGTAGTAGTAATGCAGTAGTAGGTAGTAACGATAGCAGTAGCAGTAGCATTATCGGTAGCAGTAAGCA